TATATATATATATTAGAGACTGGACTGTATCGTGTAATACTGCTGTTTGACCAATTTGGAGTGAATAATATATAAATAGGTCGTCACTGGGATTGCAGGTAGTTACATGGAGGTATACTTCAGAAACTTGCTAGACGCCATAGTGTTCTTTGCTCAGAGTTTCTATCGGTCTGAATACAACGACTGACACTCCGTCGCGCTACGTAAGAAGTTGACACTGTAGTATGATAATAAAACACATATTTATTTTATATTAAAACGGCACAGCGATATGTACACTCGTACAAATATATTTAAACATTTTACATATATGATGCTACAGAGCACGAAGAGAAATTGCACTCAGACATATACGTGCATGAAGACGGGAAATAAATGCGAAGCGTTTGTATGCAAAACGCATCAACAGAGCGAACGATGCCTTTGACCCAAGATACAGCCAGAAAAAAACCCCCCCCTCCCAAAATAAAAGTGGGAGCCAATAAAATAGAAGCATGGGAAAAAAAATAGAACAGTACATAGCAGCCCGTACTTACATAGTAATAACTGGTGCAATAGGCGTATACATGAACATCGGTGCTAAAACTTGATAATAAACGTATCCCAGCAGAGGAGTTTAAGTAAAAATGTTGGTTTGTCCTGAACACAGCGCCTTAGACCACTCGGCCACACTGCGGAAGATGACAGTGACAGGACTCGAACCTGTGCCTCCAGAAGGAGACTGCGAAGTACATTACCAACTGAGCCAAGCCCGGTTGGAAACTTTCAACTATTATGTATATTATAAATTAATATGTAATTATTTGCATAAAATAGTGAACGGCAGTGTAGCGTGAGAGGTTTGCAGTTGAGGTTTTTTCAGCGAACTCAGCTGCGAGCACTCAATAAACGACCGCCCATGTCTGGCACTGGTGTTATGACATATTCCGGTACCGAACTTTCTGTTGAGTTGCCATGGTGACTAAATACAGCTGGCAATGACTCGCCTATATCCATACATGTTGAGTACGTACTACGTTCCACCACAGGGGAGCCAGTGTTGAAAGGAACATACGTGCACATACAAATACAACCATGCATTACACACACGTGTGCACGTTTTCATGGAGTGAGCATACACAATCGATTCCACACAATCTAGATCACCACCAGATACACACACACACACACACACACACACACATCCACAGACGTACACACCCTCCCACCTCACCTCACACACCCACACACCCGTACCCGTCATGCCGCGCAGCCCCTCGCTTTCAGAGCTTGTGTCCATGTTATAAGGCACCACTGGCGGTACGTAAGCACTCTCTGGCCGCGTCACAACACCGTAACGCATGGGTGGCTTGTAGTTGTCGTCTGGCTGGTGTGTGGTTATGTCTACATGCCACCCCTGTTCCTGAACTAAGATGAAAAGCGTCTCTGATATGGCTATCTCACCGGCGTCGACAAGATTCTCCCTCAGCTGTGGGTGTTGGGAGCTTTTGTTAGTTTGTCTGCAGTGATCTGTTAACCGATAGGGTGTACGCTACACTGGGTAGTATTATTATACTGTAGTGCCACACTGGGCAGTGGTATCCCACTGTACACTACTGGCCTAATCTATTAGCACGTGCGAGTTGAGCGTCTCATCGGTATGTACTCCCACTACATTTGTATCACAACTGCAGATGAGTTGCACAAGTGCACGTGCAGTGGTCTTGCCCGGTGGTGTGTTAATGCGCCGGTCGATGCGCTGCTATGCAAGCGGAGAGGAGTGTACACACGCAGCAATAGAGCAGCAAATGACAACCCCGCACAAGACACCCACACACATAATAGGAGCGCATGAACTATGCATGAGATACATACGACAGCAGCAGACAGCACAAGACACCCACACACATCATTAGGAGTGCATGAACTATGCATGAGATACATACGACAGCAGCAGACAGCACAAGACACCCACACACACCATTAGGAGTGCATGAACTATGCATGAGATACATACGACAGCAGCAGACAGCATAAGACGTACACTAGATGGTGGGTCATTCGGCGAAGGCATCAGCCGCTAGACACGCAAGCACGCATGTAGGCGTATCTCAATCATCACGTGTGAGCACTATAGAAGCACACATAGTCGTACAGGAAGAACTATGGGACATCAAGACACGTGGACGTATAAAAAATATGTAAGCAGATAAACACACAAATCACAGGTGAAACAGCATATATATATATACACAAACTACAGGTGGAAACACACATACGTACACATGCACACACACACATATACACAAACTACACGTGAAAACACAAATAGGCACAGAATA